CCCCCCCCCCCCCCCCGTTTTCTGCCTGTTTTGCAGAAAATCTATAAAGTGCCATGGAAATAAATGTTCTATATAATGTGAAATTTTTTTTTCTAATTATGCTCTAAAATGACTGTAAAAAGTCTGTACTTTTTTTTTTATTCTCATGTTCCAGAGAAAGACAAAGAGGAGGACATGGAGACCACAGAGGAAGGGAAAGAGGGTGAGGAAGAAAAGGAGGAAGGAAAGAAAAACCTTGAGTTGGATATCGGAGAGGGCAACATCGCCACCGCTGCCGCTGCTGCTCTGGCCTCTGCTGCCACCAAGGCAAAGGTAATGCAATGCTCAGACTTCAACAGGGACTGGGTTCAATGTTTATTGATTCTTTAACTTCCCTTGTTGGCACCAATAGTAACTGTGTGCTTTGTGCAGCTGTCTCCAATCAAAGTGTTTTTATCACCCTGGCAGCTAACTTGATTTCATGCACTGTTGTTTTTGTGTGTCTCAGCACCTGGCTGCAGTGGAAGAGAGGAAGATCAAATCTCTTGTGGCTCTGCTGGTAGAAACTCAGATGAAGAAGCTGGAGCTCAAACTCAGACACTTTGAGGAGCTGGAGACCATCATGGACCGTGAGAAAGAAGCAGTAAGTATTGAATCTGGATATCAAGAACAGGTCACCCTAAAATCCAAAATAATGCATTTTATATTCATTTTATTTATTTATAATTTTTTTTGCATTGTGGCTTTTTTGCTCACTGTAGTGAAAGTTATATTGTTGAATTATTTATTATCAATAAAATTATCTATCTATTATCATCATCATTATTCAGTTTTTGAAAAAAAAACTTAAATTTGTTTCTCTGCTCAGTAAAGTCAATGAATTTGTATTTTTTCCCCTCCATGCAGTGTTACAATAGCTACTAACTAGTTGTAGTATGAGGTTGTAATTTACACCTGCTTTGCTAGTGCTGTGCCTTGTTCTTATGTATCCTGTAGTCTTATGTCTGCACACCAGAGGCGCTGTCCACAAGAGACTTGGAGAGCTATACAAAATGCTTTAGCAAATCTAGCTGAAGATAGTAACCCAATTTAGCTGCTGTAAATAGTGCATGAAGGATGTGTCTTTATATAGCCCATCCCAGTGGTACTTTATTTCCTTCTAGTGTTTATAAATTCACTAAGTACAGCTTTGATTTTAGTTAAGCATGATGGGGACTTCTGCACAGGCTAGCACCACCCGCTCTTTCTTTAGAAAACGCAAAAAAAGGTTCGTTTCTGCAGTACTGATTTCTGCTCACAGGAACATTTTTGTGCCATTTTAGTGGCATGAATCGGGTTCACGCCATATTTGTGACGCATTCTTCTGGTGGACGTTTGCATAACTTCTGAAGCTACAGCATAAAGATGGCATGTGTAACCAGTATTGGCATGTCTGACTGGTCCACACTGGTTCCCAATATTAACTTTATTAATGTTATTATTATTGAATAATAAAGAAATTAATGTTTTTCTATTCTTTTTTTTTTTTTTTTGGTGGACAGAACATTCAAATGTGGTTTGAAGTTAATTTTTAATAAATGAACTAAATACAGTAATTTAGGTGGATTTTTTTTTTTTTCATTAAATGTTTTTTTTTTTTAGCTTGTTTTCCCCCATGCATCTCATGATAAGCACAATTTTTCAATGCCATGATGGACATAACCAGATGGCAAATTTCCAGTTTTCATTTTTCTAGTTCTACACTGATAGCTTTCTACCTTTTTTCACATTATGCACAAATTTATATTAAAGAACCAGCTGTAAATAGACCAGATGTTGACTGCACTGCCCAAATGAATAGATCCGATTAGAGTGCTTGCAAAATGCGTTCTAATGATTGGATTTGAAAAACAAATCGAAATTGTGTGCTGTTTTTAAAGCCTTAGTAATCAATTTAAACTTTCCCCCTTGCCCCATCAAGCTGAGTTGATTTAACAGGAGTTTTCCCTTTATAGCTGGAGCTCCAGAGGCAGCAGCTTTTGACAGAGCGACAGGCATTCCACATGGAGCAGTTGAAATATGCTGAGATGAAGGCTCGTCAGCAGATGGAACAGCAGGCAGCTGTGCAGCAGAATGCAGGAGGACATCACGGACCACCTCCACATGGCCCAACTCCGCACGGCCCACCTCCAGGCATGCACCCTGGACACCCAGGACATCCCGGGCACCCAGGCCCCGCATATCCCCCCATGCACCATCCCATGGGTCCCCACCATGCCCCTCAGACAGGTCAACACGCACCCTGATCTTCTGGTTTTGTGTTTGAGGTCTTCTTTTGGGTTGCTCCTTTTTGTACAAAACATTAATTCTAGGCTGCATTCTCAGAGCACACACACACAAAACCACCTGGAGAACAGCTTGAGCTCTTTTATGGAGCTTAACGCAGCTCTTTTTAATATCAAGCTGGTCCCGCAGTAGTCTGCATTTATGACAGTCGTGTTACATGATTTGACTGATTTGGACATTAAGTTTTTGCACCGCATGTTTGGAATGTGGCACAGTTATCGTTTTATCTCGATTATTGACTTTTTGTATCATTGGAAGCTGAAATGGAAACTAAAATTGCACATCCCTAATGAGTCTTAAAAAGGTTGTAAGTCTTAATTTGCCATTCCACAAATTAAGGCCTTAAATTGGCACTAAAAAGTTTATAAACTAATGGCATTAAATACTGCATGCACTGTGAAAAAAAAAATCGGTATTTGTTTGTTTTTCCAGTGGGAATATTTAAACATCCTTAAATCAAAATACGTTTACTTGAGATGAAAAATGAAGATATTTAACGAAATTAAGCGAGTTTGTGCTTAAAACAACAAATATCTGTCAATAGGATCAGAACAATAAACTTGTTTCCCTTTTAAAAATGCTAGTTTTTCTCTATTGGCAGATTTTTTTTTTCTCTTTTTTTTCTGTCCCCTTCCGTTTATTCCTTACATTTTCTTTACTTGGTCTTAAAAACCCGCAGAAACCCTGCTAATTCCTTTCCAAAAGCGAATATTCTGTAGCACATCAATACGTCTTTTTTCAAGTGTCTTTTGTTGCTTTGTTCAGGACCAATGGTTGGACCAGGCCAGCCCATGCCAGGTCAGCCTATGCCAGGCCGAATGATGCCTGGACCTCCCCCAGTTGGACCCCCACAGGGTGGCATGCTACCCATGATGGGCCCTCGACACCCTGGACCACCCAACGGCATGTGTGAGTATCCCTTCTATCGCTAGATCCTGTCCTCTTGTTCCTGTGCGTGGCACATTTGTCCTGGGCTCTATATATTTTTTCCGGCTGCGTTTTTAAAACAACATCATTGTCTCCTTATAGACCCAGGTCCACCTCCAACCGCACAGCCTGATGGGATGCCCCCTGGCCCAGTGGGACCTCCTGTATCTGCACCCCCTCCTCGTGCTGCTGAAAACTAAACTATTCCCCCCTGTCACCGCACACACGTACACATCCACACACACACACACAAATCCAGATTAATTCGGGACCCCCGCAGACCTGCTGTCGTCGCCCTCTGTAGTTTGGCCTTGCTGATGGGTGGGTCATCTCTAAATCCTCTCGATCGAGCTGAGCACTCACCTCCTCACCCGCAAACATTCACACGCTCAGGGCACAAAGTCAAGAGTGCTGCCGTTCCTGCGTCTCTTGGCTAGTAATAGCACTGGCTTCTGTTCTGTTTCTCTCCTCTTGTGTTTGTTTTCGAGAGCGTTAGACAGACTCCTGCGGAACTTCGCTGTCCGGCTCTTCCCTGTAATGTGACTGATGGAATCATATGTGTATATTGTGCTGATCCACGTAAGCTAAATGCTCTAAGATCGAAATCACACTGTAGCTACGAGCCGGTTCACAGCGTCCCGCCTCCTCTGGAGTCCTGTGGTGCGCAGAGAACCTTTCTACTGCCTTACTTGTTTGTGGTGCAGTATCCATTACAGCAGGGTTCCCAGTGGCTTCCTCGAGCTTCCTTTTAATATTTACATCCACATCTAGTTGATAAACTACCTCGCCGGTGCAATTGTAAGCAATCTGTGCACAGTGTGTGAAGCAGATTTGCTTTATGGTACTCTGCTTGGTCAGCCACGCTGTGACCCAGAGATCAATGAGAGATCGTAACTCACACCGCCACGAGTGCTCCGCTGTCCTAAATGCGTCCCGAGTACTGTAACACCAAACAAGAGCCCACCAAACTGCTGTTTTTAGAGATGTACCCACACAAGCATGAAACTTTGTTTGCTTCAGATGTACGAACACACACACACACACACACACACATTTAAAACCTCTGCAAATGGAGGTGTATATGGTATCACACTGAAGTGATGGAGGAACTTTGCTTATCTTAGGTGTAGCTGGCCTTTTGTGCTCCTCCCTTAGGTGCTGACAGAGTAGCTGCCCCGCCTTGCTCTACCTCTCTCACTTTACTACCTCTCTTCTCTCCTTCTCTCTTCCTGTTATGGCTGTTCTCTCTCTTTCTCTCTCTCTTTTCTTTGTGTGTGCCCATGTGACTGCTGCATTACTGCTGTGTGGAGGCTGTCGTCGTCCTCCTCCTCAGGTGAACCAAGCCCTCACTTCAACACGGCCCACCCCACTACCCACCCCACTACACTACACACACACACACACACACACAGACACACAGATACACGTGCATTTCCTCTTCCAAAACTTTCCAGGCTGTATATCACCGAAAAATGGGGTGAAACCCTGCCCTCCCCGATCTCCATATATATCTTTTATTGCTTTTTATTTTATGGTAATGTATTTTTAAGAAAATAAAGTTTGTGTAGACTCAGTTATCGCTGTTCTTGGAAGTTTGTAGCTTTCTCTTTTCAGTTTACCCGGCACATTGATACTGAGACCTGAACACTGTCTAAATAAAGTGGGTTTGTTTTTGTAAGACTGCTTTCTGTTTCAGTTCTAGCGATTCCTCTGGTTTATGTGTTTGGATTTTAAGAGTGGATGAATCTCTCAAAAATTCATAAAACATGACTTTTTAGGAGCTTTTTTTTTGGCGCAGTGATGCATTCATGCATTTATTTGCATGAGGGGAAGTCGTGGCCTAATGGTTAGAGAGTTGGATTCGTAACCCAAAGGTTGTGGGTTCGAGTCTCGTACCGGCAGGGATTGTAGGTGGGGAGAGTGAATGTACAGCGCTCTCTCCCACCTTCAATACCACGACTGAGGTGAGACCCTTGAGCAAGGCACCGAACCCCCAACTGCTCCCCGGGCGCCGCAGCACAAATGGCTGCCCACTGCTCCGGGTGTGTGTTCACGGTGTGTGTGTGTTCACTGCTGTGTGTGTGCACTTTGGATGGGTTAAATGCAGGGCACTAATTCCAAGTATGGGTCACCATACTTGGCCTCACGTCACGTCACTTATTTCTATTAAATCTCATTATAGTAGTATTATGGAAGCTTGTTTCCTCCCAGGATTAAAAAAAAATATATATATATATATATATATAAATCTTTTACTTTTTATCTCACAGTTCTGAGTTTATATCTCACAATCGTGACTTTTTTCCTCTCAATTCTCATAAAGTCGAAATTGCGAGATATGAGAAGAAAAAAAAATAAAATGATTCCTTTTTTGGTATTTTTAAAAAAAAAATTTAACAATTGCCCATCATTTGCTCCAAATGCACTTTGGCAAATATAAATTCTGCTCTGTGAGGAGGAAAAAACATGCAGGATTTATAACAACCTCATGTAATGTAATCTCTAACCCGGATAATCCGGCATGTAGAAGAGTTCACTAGCATATGGAGGGCTGGAACGTGTTAGACTGTGCCCGATAAGTAATGGGGGTTGTGTTTTCCCCCCCCTAAATATTGGCACTTTAAAATAATTACCCACTAGAGGCTGTGCATTAGTAGTTTTACCCCACAGGAAAGGGAAGTTCATGATTTCTAAATTTCTTAACTGAGGGAAAAACTAATGCACAACATTAAATGTATTGTAGCTTTTGTACAACGGTGGAAATGAGAAAAGACTGCTTTAATTAATAGTTTAAAAATAAAAAATTTATATTAAGTAATAGTTCATTAATTAGCCTGTTTGATACTTAGCAAATTAGCACAATGCAGAAAGTGATGTCACATGCTTCTGTCTGAAATGGACAGCAGCTTCTGTTTGGACTGTAGGATATTCTGATTGTTTATTTCTGAAGTATTAATACATTATTCTTAGTCTGAAAAAAGTCATTTTAAACCTAAATGATCAGTGGAGTCATTTGGGCTGAGAACAGCAATATTGATTATTTGAATTTGTGATATATAGTTTTGAACAACTACTACTACATGCATGGAGAATAGTTTGCCATTTATTAGATAACCCATTTAAAATGAGATTTTTTTTTTTCAAGGAAGGCTGATCATTCTCAGATAATGTAGCTTCAAAATAAGATGATTTAAACTGTTTTCTCATATATAGATTAGATTGTCACTTTGGTGTCTGAGCACCCCACTGCATCCATATGAAACATTTACAACTATTATTTATGTTTGGTGTAATGATACCAGATGAGGCCCAGGCCATAAAATCATTCTTGAGGCATACCTAAACGCCCAGTGATTTTGGGAGATATTAAACACCTCCTTCACTCAAATACAGACTGGTCTTGCTGCCCTTATGCGTTTGTATAGATAAGCACAAGGCCCTATTTTTTGTGACAAGGTTTGACTCCATCACTTTAAAACTCAGTCATTTTTCATTCTGCTGTGGGTGTCTGCATGAGAATAAAGGGCGGGAAATGGTGTTTTCAAAGAATGTTAAAGCTTATTAAATATGTTAGTTCAGATTAGTGGTAGGCTGATTAATAATTGTGCCTGCTGGCGTGATAACAGAAATGGTCATTCTGCTTGGTGTCAGAGAAATACAAGCAGCCTTGACGATACATTTTTTTGTTACGTTTTTTGCTCTCTCTCTCTCTCTCTCTCATCCAGAAAAAAACACATCATATAAAGGTTAGAAATTGATTTGCATTTGAGTGAGTGAAATAAGTATTTGATCCCCAAGCAAAACATGACTTAGTACTTGGTGCAGAAACCCTTCTTGGCAAGCACAGAGGTAAGACGTTTTTTGTAGTTGGTCACCAGGTTTGCACACATCTCAGGAGGGATTTTGGTCCACTCTTCTTTACAGGTCCTCTCTAAATCCTTAAGGTTTCTTGGCTGTCGTCTGGCAACTCGAAGTTTCGGCTCCCTCCACAGATTTTCTATAGGATTGAGGTCTGGAGACTGGCTAAGCCACTCCATGACCTTAATGTACTTCTTCTTGAGCCACTCCTTTGTTGCTTTGGCGGTATGATTTGGGTCATTGTAATCCTTGAAGATTTATCCATGACCCATCTTCAGTGTTCTGGCTGAGGTTCTCGTCCATTTGCCCCTCAATGCGGTGAAGTCGTCCTGTACCCTTAGCAGAAAACTTTGTTGCCTTGGCGGTATGTTTCGGGTCATTGTCATGCTGGAAGACCCATCCATGACCAATCTTCAGTGTTCTGGCTGAGGGAAGGAGGTTCTCGTCCAAGATTTTACAGTACATGGCCCCGTCCATTTGCCCCTCAATGCGATGAAGTTGTCCTGTTCCCTTAGCAGAAAAACAGCCCCTAAGCATAATGTTTCCACCTCCGTGCTTGACTGTAGGGATGGTGTTCTTGAGGTCATTGTCAGCATTTCGCTCCCTCCAAACACGGCGAGTCGAGTTAATGCCAAAGAGCTCAATTTTGATCTCATCTGACTACAGCACTTTCACCCAAGCCTTCTCTGAATCATTTAGATGTTCTTTGGCAAACTTTAAACGGGCCTGTACATGTGCCTTCTTGAGCAGGGGGACCTTGCGGGTGCTGCAGGATTTCATTCCATTGTGGCGTAGTGTGTTACCAATGTTTTGCTTGGTGACTGGTTTTGTATTTCTTTCTTTTTTCGAATAATTGCACCAACAGTTGTCTCCTTCTCACCAAGCTTCTTGCAGATCTACAATCTTGTCTCTGACATCCTTTGACAGCTCTTTGGTCTTGCCCATGGTGGTGGGAGAGGTTGGAATGGCAGATACAGATTGTGTGGACAGGTGTTAAAATCAGCAGGGGATCAAATAAATATTTTCCCCACTGTATATGTATTTATATCTATATATGTGTGTGTATGTGTATATATACTGTATATGTATATATATATATGTCTGTATATGTATGTATATATGTCTGTATATATATGTATATATGTCTGTATATATATGTATATATGTCTGTATATATATGTATATATGTCTGTATATATATGTATGTATGTCTGTATATATATATGTATGTGTATATGTATGTATATGTATATAAATGTATATGTATATATATGTATATATATATGCATATGTATATATATGTATATATATATGCATATGTATATATATGTATATATATGTATATATGTATGTGTATATATAAGTATATATAAATGTATGTGTATATATATGTATATATAAATGTATGTGTATGTATATGCATATATATGTATATGTATATATATGTATATATATGTGTGTGTGTGTGTGTGTGTGTGTGTGTGT